AACTTTATGTCACAATTGTTGTGCCTGGTCCTGTCAGATTCTCTTTCCTGGTAAACACTCGAGGACATCTAGTCGTACACAATAAAAACTGACTTTAGCAGTGAATTCACCATTTAGCTCTTAGTACCTTGTCAGTACCTTGTTCCCCCGGCTGGGACTAACAGGGAAGTGAACCTCTCACCTTTAACACTTTAACACTCAGCAGGATGCTAAATGAAAGTGAAAAAAGGAACTTCCACTGTATCTTGATTGCTCTGTAAGTTGTCAGTAGACTTAAGTCTGGATCAACTTGTATCACATGGTTACCTACAGGTCTCCACAGGTTTGCCCTGTTCCAACGCTAACATTAGCGTAACGGCCAACAAGCGCCGACACATAAGGAACTGTAACCGGACTCCGCCCAGAATTTTTTTAGTTTATTACTCTCGTACTTCTGGATATGTCAAACACTATATACTAATAGACTATTAAATGCTTTTACGAACATGTATTGTGCCATTGTAAATTCGGCATGTGGAATTCTGTGAAACAATGATTAAGTTAAGTTTTAATAGAATCTAAACTGGACTGTTTGGGTATCGCAACCGCAAACAGAGTGTAGGTTAACTTGTTACTTTGGACTGTGCGATTGGCAGGCGAACTTAAAAGAAAACTATCAACTGGTCAAAAAAAATGGTGCATGGTGAGTTTCTCTGTGACCCGAATTCACCAGTAAGATCTACCGATACAAGAAATGTCTTGAGTCTACTTCCATCACGCATGTACTGTTAATAATGAGCAATTACCTTTTAAAAAAGCCGATTAGTAAACGCAGCCTGGTAAACTCTCTCCATACTCTGTACCAGCATTTCACAGTGCTTATCCATCGTGTCTGGCCAGCTAATGCTAACTAGCAGACTCACACAGTTGAAATGAACTTACTTGTGGAAGGAGATGTCTCTGTCTTTGTGGTAGCGGTTCTTACAGCCGTACGCTGAGCACGTCTGAACCATGGCTGCTGCCCGGACAACGCTCACTGAAACCCAGACCGATACTCCACGAAGCTCCGCTGGTGCTTCTCCTCGCCCTCCGCGCAGGCTTCACTGCCACTAACAATGATGGCGGCGAAGATTGGGTCACGTGACTTACGTTTTCGGCTGTGATTGGCGGAGCTCGGTTCCCATACCTTCCCAAATATCTGCGTCCACCAGGTGAAAACTGCTCATCTCAAGGCTGTCATTTTATATTTTAGTCATATTTTAATTGCATTAGAGGTAATTGAATTACTGACATTCAACCTGATAATTACAGGAATTCATTTTAAAGACCGAAAACGGTAATTTAATTGATTTTAAACAAAAAAACACTGCAATATGACCCTAATTATTTCCCACAATTCCCTTAATGCAATGCAATGCATTAATATATCACATCCAGATACATTTACATTGATATAACTGTGTGTAAATGTATTGTTTGTAAAGTTTAAGTGTATATTTTTTAAAACCTCACAAATCTGATATTACAAATATTCAATGAGATTATTGTGTAATACAAGGAATCTATTGGTAAAATATGATTTTATTGGCAACATTTCTTATACACAAATGTATTTTCACCCAATCACGGATCCATTGTTGATGAAAATCTTTCTAAATGTAATATTATTGGTTATTTTATTTCTGTGTATATTTTTATTTTATTTGATTTATTTTCATGGCTAAAAGGAATGAGACTGTTATTAAAGGAATTATTAAATGCTGTACTGGTTTGTCAATAAAGATTTTTGAGAGAAATATATGTTTCCACGGTACCACAGACAATATACAGTATACTGGACATATAATACAGCAACACTGGCACCGGCATTGTCACTGCTGTTGATATTTGTAGATATTTGTACATTGTTTACAAGATAATGTAGAGATGTGTTGCTCTTTAGGCAAACTAGCACTAGAAAATGTAATATAGAAGAAGTGCGAATGAGAAAACTGGAAGAAATACACATAAATACCAAAATAGTTTTAATTTCAACAATTTTCTCAAAGAAAAAATGTCGCACCACTTTAGAAAAGTGTCAAAGGTGTCAATACTTTTGGCTGCAGCTGTATGAAGGTTCTGTCAAAGCATCATGGGAGCTGTAGTTCTGTGTCTAGTAGCCAAACTCAGAAACTATGTGTTTTGATGCTACTGTCCTGAGGCTTCAACACTCAGGTTTATCATGCAGTTTTCACATATTAATTATATTAATTCCCAATATTTTACAGCTAGGGCAGGCTGATTCATAGAAAATGTAGTTATACGCTACTAAAGTTAAGATGTGATGATTTCCAACACAAGATTTGTTGGTCAAAAAAAGAGACTTTATTAATAAAAGAGGTGTTTTCAACAGGGCAGGTTGGTCTGAGGAGCTTTATACAGCAGCAAAAGACCAGAAATACACTGGAAAACAAGTAAATACACAGCACTGATATGTAACTGTGACAGGTGTGTTTGTGTGTGTGTGTATTGCGCCTCTATTCTGTATTACATACTGAGTCCAGTAGTTGAGCGAAAAAAAAGCAGAAAAGGCCACAAGGCTCTTAAACACTCTGAGCTGCTGCAAATTGAAAACTGGACATAAAAAAACATTCTTTACAACTCGGTTTCTCACAAGCTGACAGCCGACAACTTACAGGAATGTCTTTTCTTCCTATCTGTATGAATGCACTTAAATGCACCATTACAGAATAATAAAAAAAAGAAAGCCTGAAGGAAGGGAGGAAAGGGGAAGGAAAGAAGAAATGAAGGGAATATTTAAAAAGAGCTTAGGCAGGACATTATTTATCCAATTTATACATTAGCATATGAATTAGCACACACTGTAACAGACCTTAAAGAGGAAGAAATAAATAGAAAAGTATAAAGAGAGTTTTTGGGTGGGCAGCCCAAATTATTCTATATACAGTTCAGGAAACACTGTATATATTACCATTTACAAAAATGACTCAGAAAATAAAATGAAATGCTTTCAGCGAATGAAAGAAGTGAACTGTGAATTCTATAGAATCTCTATAGAATCTTAGATGACAGGTATGAATTTAACATAAAATCACTCTTTTTGTGTCTTCACAGTCTGAGTATTATTTTGATAGTTCTTTGTCCTGTTAGCTGTGATAACATTTTACTGGAAAATTTTTCGGGTGTGTGAGGTCAGTTAGACGCACCTCCAAACTTTTTTTTTTTTTTTTT